GGGTCGTAGATTACATGCACATACCATAGGGACCTGCACAACTGGCCAGTTTAGAATCCATGGGGGGGCCTGGGCCAGCCCTAAGCTAACCAGGGACAAATGTGCAAAGGTGGATATGTGGACATGTTACCTAGGATCACTATGGCCCTGGAACCTCATCCTTTTTAAAAAGGGGGCTCCTATTTTCAAAATGGGCTTCCATTTCCTTTTCTAAGGTAAATAACTTCAAATTTGTATATGGAAAGGAAATCTTCCTAAAGGCTAGGAAGACAGTTCTAAAGTAAAGTGCCTCCCAACTTTATTAGAGTTTACTAGGAAATATTTTGTATACAAAAGAGATCACAGGTCTGTAAAGAGTAATAAATAGTAAAACAAATCAGCCACACCATCTCAAGCAGGGGTCCCTCACCAACACCACTTACAACTTTTCACACCACAGCATCAGTCTCCAAGCTAGAGGTCACAGCAGGCAGCCCAAAGCCAGAAAGAGCTCACAGATGTTTTCTTTGGCTAACAGAATGTGATTTTCTTTTCTTTTTAGTTGCCAACGTTTAAATAACAAGAAATTTCACATGGATAAATTAGCATCCAGGAGCATGATTAAAAGATGTGGCTAATGTACACCCACAAAGCAACAAGTGGCTAGAGGGGAAGAACAACTCTCCCCTTTAAATAAATATGTATTTGAGAATTCACCACAGTCCCTGCCATTTTTTTAACTCATTTGGCTATAGAACATCCCCYGAACTGACAAGAACTATTTATAACCATTACATATTTGAAGTATATTCATACATTTTGATACAGAAATAATGTGCTGAGTTATGGGGCACTACCCCAGACTGCTGGAGGTATCATACAACTCCAGCCTATGTCCATGTTACTCTTGAAAACCTGAACGATTCTGAAAACTGGAACATTTGAAAAGTCCCAAGGGTTTTGGGACTGTATCTACTTAAAAAAGATACTCCCAGCCAGGCATGCCCCATAATCCCAGCAGCTCAGGAGGCTGAGGCAGGAGAATCACAAGTTCAAAGCCAGCCTCAGCAACTTAGCAAGGTCCTAAGCAACTTAGMGAGACCCTGTCTGAAAATAAAAAATGAAAAAGGACTGGGGATGTGGCCCAGGGATAAAGCACCCCTGGGTTCAATCCCCACTACAAAATTATAATAATAATAATCACCCAAAGCAGATGACAGTGGGATAATATTATATGTTTAATCATATTTATATACTTAATTWATTACTGTGGCAGCTACCTACAATTGAGAAATAGAATGATAAATGCAGAACATTCTGTGGTCTGACAGAAATGCATAGTGCTCATACTGACTCCAGGACCACAGTCTAGTCTGATGGCAAACCCCAGTGGAACACACTGAGAACCTCTGCCAGGAGGATAACGCCCTAACAGGAAGGTACGCTGCCTTTACAGACATGACCATGACCTTTCATGGTTTATTTTTTCCCCCAGTGAAGAATGGATTTTCACCTGTAAATAACCTGTCTGATATTTTAAGGTTTCACAGCATAAAAACCACATCATAAGACCATGGAAGATCAGATTGAGAAGTTAGGAAGGCAAGGGACTTCTCTCCCACACCTGCCCTATGCAAAAGCTGGACAGAATCTACTTAGCTTGGAGCAAAGCAAGAGTGAAAATCAGTATAAGAAAAAGAAACAGTGCAGTAGGTAAGGGGGGGGGCAAAATGCGACTGGGGGCAAAGTAAGGGTACAGTGTGTGATGGCCAACTATAGGAAGGATGCCTCACAGAAGAGAGAGGGTAAGATACCATGGTACCAGAGGCTCTGAGATCAGCAGGTACACGTGCATTTGGATTCAGTGTGAAAGTCATGCTGCTGGTAGAGAAACCTGGGTTCGGATGCAAAGCTCTGTCATTAACTAGCTCTATGACCTCTTTGATCTCTGGCTTCCTCATCATTAAATCAGGAATAAGTGACAGCACCTCTGGGCACAGCATCTAGCCCAGAAGCTTAATAAGCACAGAAGCTGATTAATAAACATTCGCCAATGTTGTCTTTCCTGATGAAAGGGCAGCTCAGCCTCTGTAGTCAAAAGCATCTGGGGTCCAGAGTCAGCAGGCCTACACCCAGGTCCTGTTTCGGACACTGAGTAGCTAGCTGTACCAACTTGGCAAGTCATTTTTCCTTATGAAGCAAAGGTTATAATCTCCTGTAGGTGAGAACCAGGCCAGGTGGTCCAGCACGGAGCTTTGTAAACCAAACTACTCTGGATGGTCTCAGTAAAGGAAAGAATGAGCTCTTCAACAAATCCAAAGAACTGAGGATATAGTGACAACAGGATAAGGAAGAGGGAAAATAAAATAACAGGGCCTGTTAACTTGCAGGTCCTCTGTACAAGTGGTTGCCAGCTGGTGATCCATGGGACATATCTGGCCCCAAAGTATTTTGTGTWGTCCCACATAGTGCCATGTCATTTAATTTGAATTAAATGCCATCTACTATTCATTGAGAACCATACATGTCAGGTTATTCTTGAAAACTCCAGCTGGGCCTTCATTCCCAGAGAATCAMGTTGTGGGTCATGGCCCTCCAAATCCCCTGCAGCCCCTACCTGGACCAAGTTACTCATTCATTTTACTACCCTGGCCCTCCAGGCACTTGGGTTTGAAATCTTGACYTACCTAAAGACAATTATCTAGGAAAGTACTGGGACCTCCGGGGAAGCTTTGATCACTGCAGAATCAAGAGCCAGTTCAGACATTCCCTCCCAGAGCCCCAGGACCACACCTTTCTAGTTCCATCCCTCAGGCCCTCCTTGACATTTGCTCTCACAACTTCAGGTTCCTCATCTTGGCTTTCCCCTGTCTCTATTCAGGACACCTCTAAACCTGCATCCCCGGATGATCTGCACTAAGGGTTTTCAAGAATCAATCTCTCTGTAGCACCAGTGCATAAAGCATGAGGGGACATTCCTTGCTTGGCCAACCAGCCCCTGATCTCCTTCCTGCTRGTGATAGCACCCCAGTTTACCCTAGGGAACCCGCGCTCCTGCACTCTCAATCCACATGGCTTGGGTGGAGCAGACTCCATTCCATTTCTGGGGAAAGGCATGTGACCCAGAAACATTCAGAKCCAATTCTGGGACTTTGGCCACAGTCACAAAGTATTCTTTCCCTCTGGGACTTACACGGAGAATAATGGAAGACCTGGGGGTGGAGGAGGGCGACCCCAAGAACATGGCCTATCTAGAGTGGAACCCTTAGATCCAGCCAAATATAAAACCACGTTGTTCTTGGACTCTTCTGCTCACATTTTTGAGTCAATGAATTCCTCTTTGCTCAGGCAGCTTGAATTGGGTTTGCTTCCAACCAAAAGAGACCTAATCATTACAAGAAAAATTCCAAATAAGTGCTTGAAGTTAGAAGAAAAAGAAAAGGCTCTGCTCACACTTTTCCTTCCAAGAGGCTTTTGCTCCTTTCCTCCAACCAGTTACAGCTAAGTTTTCCTCTGTGCATGAGCTGTCCTTCTACAARTACTTATCTCATGTATATAATTATTTTTGGTTTGCCTATCTCCTCCACCTATCTATTGAGCAGCTTCAGGGCAGAAAGCATGTCCTATTCACCTWTTATTCTTTAATACCTTGCACAGTGTGCCTGGCTTGGTCTCAAGTTGTCTATTGAATGTATGACTCAACAAAAAGCAGGTGGATAAAAAGAATCATCCTACTTCTCTGAGACACCCACATCATGAGTCCACCTCATAAGCCTTGCCCATTTTCTCTAATAGACTCATCCAGCCACTATAAACAAATTGCATCATGAGAACTCATTCCTTCCAGGCATTACTAATTCTCCACATGCTGGTCCATGGAACCCCACCATGWGTTACTCACAAGGTCTCCATCCTGCAGGAATACCTCATTGCAAGACACAAACTTAGAGCCCTATAAACTGATAAAGCAACACATAACAGGCCTGACACTCGCAGATATAACTTCCTTCTCCATCCAAATTATAGGGGGAAAACCCTTCTGTACTTTCTTGCAAAAATTCCTCTTGACCCCAATACACCCAGAATTCTTTCTTCTGGTGCCCATCAACCATTTGCTTCCTAGYAGTAACAATTCTAGGGTCTCTCCTGCCTCCAATTTTCCTTTCTAGTCCTTTGTGATTAATTAAATAAAAAAAAGAAAGAAAGAAAAGAAAGAAATATCTAGGAAATCAACAGCAAGAAGGCAATAGGTTCCCCAGTGAAAACAGATGTTCTGACTTTGGATGCATAACCACCACACCCTTAATAGCTCTGTAATAGCTGCAGCTTCCACTGGCATCTAGCAGCAAAGATTTTCAAACAGTCAAAGGTCAGGCTGAGAATTACAGTTCTAGTATGAATCACCAKCTGCTCTATCCAGTTCACATTTTCCCAGACTTGGGCTCACACCACCAGGCAATCTAGTAAGAACCAGAATCCTGGAATTAACCACACTGATTGAATATCTGCCATAGCAGACTCTGGCAGTAGGAGGAGACACAGCCAGGACTCTCAAGGTGTGTAAGCTGATGGGGACCCAGGCTAGTAAAGAGGCAATTCAATGACAAAAAGTAAGTGGTCTATGGGATTATGACAACAYCTAGGAGGGACATCCATTCTAGGCTGGAATATCAGGGACCTCCCAGAGGCACTGAAACCTTCACTGGGAGATCTGAAGGATGAGTAGGAGGTATCTGTAAGAAAGGGTGGTGAAAGAGGCTTCCAGGAGTTCCAGGGAGAGGCTAATGGGTTTTGCAGGGCCTCCTCTGGAAACTGAAAGTAGGCAAGTATGGCTAAAGTGTAAAAGTGGGAAGAGAGGCTACCAGGAAGCAGGAGCCAGGGAGACCCTAAATGGATTTCCAGATAGAAAGCACTCTGAATTTTGTATCAAAAGAGCAAATATCCCTTGCCCGACACAATGCAAAAACAGATCAAAACAACAATCTAGCAAATGTATCCTGACACTAAATACTGACGCCACGATGCACTTTGCTGAAAACTCTAAGAAGGGTAAAAAACTCACAAGAAATGATCATTTGCTTATCATGCTTTTTGCTTGAAACATTAGCCCCTTTCCATTTCTAATCCCATCTATCTTCTAAGCTTTACTTCTTCAATTTTCCTACAAACACCAGAAAAGTAAGCATGTCCGGGCTTTAGAGGCAGGGGGTAGGTAACTCTGGAAACAGAATAAACGCACACCGAGAAAATATGGTAGGATATTGTAAAAATCAAACAACACAACTAAGCAAAAAAGTTGAGGGAAACGAAACACTGTAAGAAGCAAATTTAGAAAACTCAAGAGGAAGTAAAAGTATTTTCATACAAGCTAAAAACGAAGTGTCTCACGTGCTTCAACCAAACCAAACTCCCCTTAACTGTTAAAAAAAAAGAAGAAGAAAAAAAAAAAAGCAAGAGCTGTGAAAAAGAAAAATCACATCTCTTTCCAGAATAAGCAATAAATCGGTCCCGTGCAGCTCACTGCCCTGCAAGACCTTGAAATATTTGCTCCAGATAACATGGCACCTGACAATTACCTACAGAAGCGCTCAAAACCACAAATCGTTCCTGTGCAGCGGCCCGAGCGCCTCCAACCCTCTATTCTTTCATTTAAAAATCAATGCCTCTTGTGAGGCATTAGAGCAGTCCGAGGAAACAGGGAGGCGTACTTTCCCACACCCAAGGTGAGAAAGACTTCTTTCCAACCAACGCAAGGCGTCTCCACATCCTTTTCTTCCAATCCCAAGTTTCCAAATGTCAAGAACTTGCACTCGAGTTCCCATTAGCCCTGGGACAGGGACAGCCCGCTTCTCAGCTCCCGCAAAGCGCCTTCTGGACTCCGCTAAGCCAAGCCCCCCACCGGGAAGACCCCCGAGGTGGTTCCCGCCGCAGCCGCYCGCCCCGGAAAGGCCAGGATCGCCGCCCCGAGGACCCGCGCGGGGCGCGACGCCGGGCACGGAGGTCCTCGCGAGCCCCAGAGGAGGGCACAGCTCGGGCGCCGTCCCCGGGGCAGGGGCAGTGGGCCGCGGGACCCCGGGACAGGCTGCCGAGGAGGCCGCGGGGCTGCGGGSGGACGGCGCCCAGGCCGCGGCGCGGAGCAGCCCCCGGCCCCTGGCCGCGCTGGCCTCGGGCGGGGCGGCGGCCGGGTCCCCAGCCTCCCGGCCCTCGGCGGAGCCGACCCGCCCCCCGCCCGGCGCGACCCCCGCAGGCCCGCCCGCTGGCGCACTCGCCTGCCCACGGTCTGGTTGGCYAGCTGCTTCATGCGGTTGAACTGCTTCTTCATGGCGGCGRCGGCGGCGGCCCGCGGGGCTCGGGCCGGGCAGGGCGGGAGACGGCCTGGMGGCTCCTACATCGCTTCCCGGCCCGGGCGGCAGCGGCGGAGGCGGCGGCTACCTCAGCCCGGCCCCGCCCTCGCCGCGTCACTTCCAGCAGCGCCGCCCGCCCGCCCCTCGACCCGGCCGAGTGGGGATGAGCCGAGCGGGGCCGAGCCGAGCGGGGCCGAGCCGAGCGGGGCCGAGCCGAGCGGGGCCGAGCCGAACGGGGCCGAGCCGAGCGGGGCCGAGCCGAGCGGAGCCGAGCCGAGCGGGGCCGAGGCGGGCAGAGCACAGCTGAACCCAGCCGAGCCCTGCCGAGTGGAGCCGAGCCCAGCCGAACCTTGCTCAGCCGAGTCCAGCAGGGCCGAGCCGAACGGAGCCGAGCAGAGCCGAACAGGCCGACCGAACGGAGCCAAACAGAGCTGAGCAGGCCTAGCCCAGGTCTGCCAAGAACTCCAAGCCAAAGGCGGCTGTGCGACCCCCTGCTGTCTCCACCCCCAGACCCCCAAGCAGGTCCCATTCGGGTTCCAAACCCACAAACCTACTCTAGTTGATATCGACTCAGGAATAGTCGCCTGTTCCACCTGGCTTTGTGGCCCATTCCTGAATTGCAAACTACTCAGAAGACTGAGGCAGGAGGATCCCAAGTTCGAGGCCAAMCTCCGCCACTTAGCAAGACTCTTCTCATAATGAAAAGTAATGCAATGAAAGGGCTTGGGGATGTAGCTTGGTAGTAGAGCACCCCTAAATTCAATCCCCAGGAGGCGGGGGAGGGGAGGAAATCGGCCCCTGTGGATCAGCAGCTCCACAATCTGTGGTGGTAGGTAGTAGTCACCAATGAGCGAGAAATGCAGGCAAGGTGACAGGTGTTCTTTAAATTATTTTAGGGTCTTCTTTGAACTACTTTTAAAGTAAATAAGAAAGCAAAGTGTGGTAGTTAACTTGTAGAAAAGAAACAGAAGCAAAAGCAGCTAATCAGGAACTATGTCAAGAGAAAAGTATTAACGGGACTCACTCTTGATAGGCTCCATGGACGACGTTGACATGAAGCTAGGAATTATAGCTAAAGAAGTCTCCGTTTATGTGGGGAGGAAGATTCCTTTAACAGCTCAGGCGCGCTGACATAACTTCTGACCAGCTATTGACCCTAGTGCCCACATTAAGGTGGGATTGAGTTGTATATGAAGTCCCCCTAACTAGGATGGCCACCATGACAGTTCTGGAGAGGACCAACTAAGGTCAAAAGCTCCACCGCCCAATGTGAAGGAGGAGTTGAGAACACAGGATCAGCAAAGCCTACAGAAGGTTGTCCCCAGCTCTCCTGGTAAACATCAAACAGTAATAATATTGGGGACAATGGCACSGCCAGTTATTGGAGTTCTGCTCCTCACATGTTGAAATCTGAACATTAGAGAAGCACGCAGAGGCAAGCATATAAAGCAGGATTTATTTACAAAGGGGTAACATAGACTTCCCCCCCACACCCCCGGGAGGGAGAAGGGGGCCACAGCTTCCTGGTATCCCAAGAAGCGCAGTGTTCCCCCTTTTTATAAGTCCTGGGCTTCCTTTGTTCTGCCCTCTTCCCCTTATCTCTCTCCTTCCTGCTCACAGGACTAAGCCTAGGAACCCCTCGGTGGGGTGGCCAAAAGGTGGGAAAGAGGTGGGCTGAAGGGGGAGGGGCAGGATGGTGCAGCCAAAGACAGATTTACAACCTTATAGCTCCCTGTAGGGAGAGGCAATTCCTGGGACAGGTTACCTTGGCAACAGGTTGGAGCAGGGGCAGGTTCTTGATAAGGGTGGGGGAAGGGCTCTGAAGGAATTAACATTTCAATCCTTCAGGGGATAGTCTCCAACTTCCCGGACTCAAAATTGACCTCCTTGATCCGACCAGACTGGACTTACCTATCTCTGCTGCCAGTCTCATTCTGGCTTCAACTGCACTGTCTCCTTCRTCCTTCTCTGCTTGGAGACCGCCCACTCTCTCCCTTAAGAGTGCTTTTTGCTTAAGCCTCACTTTTCTTTTACATTATTTTCACCTCACTTTCACTTCTAATAAAGTTCCCTTGCCTGACTTTTGGTGTCTGACTTTAAGTCTTCTTGGGTCGAAACACAAGAACCCAGGTTTGGAGTTTTGGCTCCCTGCTTTCCTGTGWTAGTAGGACTTTAACTTCTATCAGTAGATCACTCTCTGCATAATTAAAGTCACTGCCTTGACAAGATCTCTAACTCATGTGAAAAGCATCCAGACACAAAGCATAAACGTGAAGCACCCTGTGTAGGATGTTTGGGAATTGACAAAACTCATTCCTGGGTACTGATACCAGAACAGGGCCTGTGGGGCATGAGGGCAAAGGTTGAATGGAACATTCCAGATAATGCAAATGTTCTGTATCCTCCTTAAGGTAGTGCTTATGTGTATGAGTAGACATTTGTCAAACACAATGAATTGAACCTGTCAGATGGATGTGTTTTACTGTGTATATTTTACTGCCACTAAGAAACAAGTGTGAACTGGGGACATGGCTCAGTGGTAGAGTGCTGGCCTAGCATAAGTGAGGCCCTGGTTTGGATCTTCAGCACTGAAAAAAAAAATCAATCAGTCAATCAATCAATAAAATAAGGGGCTGGGGATATAGCTCAGTTGGTAGAGTGCTTGGCTTCCATGCATAAAGCCCTGGGTTTGATCCCCAGAACCAAAAATAAATAAATAGATAGACAAAATAAAATTTTAAAATGTGGTATAAACATAGCCTGAAGAATAGGCCCATGTGCACCCCGTGGAAAGGGCACTTGRTGGCTCCTCTGACAGCAGGAAGAAGACTTTTTTGTCCTAGATATTTAACCCAGAGGTGCTTTACCATGGAGCTACATCCCTAGCCTCTTTTATTTATTTATTTTTTTTTTTTTTTGGAGACAATCTCACTAAGTTTCCAAGGCTGGTCTTGAACTTGCAATCCTCTTGCCTCAGCCTCCGGAGCTGCAGGGATTTCAGGGGCATGCCCCCACACCCTTCAAGAAGGCTTCTTAAAGCAAGGCAGATAGGGCTTCTGCAGTCAGCGACTGAGTCACCACATTCAGACATTGGCTGTGTACCATCCACTACTGTATCACACTTGGGTGTGGTGCCAATCAAGCACCAGCTTTCCAAGCCAATAACATGGATTTTAGTGACATAATTTAGTCACAACAAGAGATGAACAGATTGTTGGAGGAATTTTTTTTTTTTTTTTTAAGAGTTGAGTCTCAGGGCTGAGGTTATGGCTCAGCAGAAAAGTGTTCGCTTAGCATGTGCGAGGCCCTGGGTTCGAGTCTCAGTACCACATTAAAAAATAAATAAATAAAATAAAGGTATTGTGTCCAACTACAACTAGAAAATACATATTAAAAAAAGAGAGAGAGTTGAATGTGAGCTGGGGAATGGGGTACATGCCTATAATCCGCAATTTAGGAGGCTGAGGCAGGAGGATCAGAAGTTCAAGGCCAGCCTCAGCAATTTAGCAAGGCCCTAAGCAACYTAGCAAGACCTTACTTCAAAATAAAACATAAAAAGGGTTCGAGATGTGTCTCATTGTTTAAGGAGCCCTGGGTTCAGTCCTTGATACCCCCCACCCCCAAAAAAGATTTGAGTCTAAGGTTAAGCATTGGAGATTTATTGCTTACATCGTAGAAGGAAAAACTAGCAGGCATACATGAACTCTATCAACTGCAAAATACTGAA